GAGCCCCAGGGCTAAGCGCTCTGCCCAGCAGGTGCCTCCTGCTGTCCCTGCCTCTTTCCTTGGGCTTGAGCTGGCCGAAATGGCCACGTCTCCTTGGTGGGGGATGGAGAGCTCTCACCTCGCCCCTGGGGGGATGCAGCTGCTGAGCGCAGAGTCTGGGTTCTGGCAGCTCCTATCCCCTTTGAGCAGGACCCTCCCTGCTTGGCTCAAGAGCTGGAATTCCAACTTCAGAGTCAGCGAGGGACTGGCTGGAGACATCTGTGGCGAGGAGACTCTCTGGACGGGCCAGTCGGTCCCCAAACTCACCCTCCACCCCTGCTGAGCACCCGTGACCACAGCTGACTCTGCACTTGTGCAGATCAGGCCTAGGTCAGCAGCTGGCAGGCCGCAGACTTAGCCAGTGGAGTCATCAGGCCTGTGCGCTGACCTTTACCCAGGACGCCTCTGCCCCCCAGTGCAAGGACCTCCAACCACTCCCCTGTCAAACAGCCCCTGGCTGAGTCCTGGATCTTACAGGAGGCCTCAGCCCTGGGCAGCGTTGCTCTCCCGGGGCTCCGCAGGGGTGTGATTGTGGGAAGACGCGTGAGCCTCTCCCGGTTCCTGTGTCCACTGCTCCAAGCCCTCCGGTCTGCTCCGATGACACGTGTGCGTGGGCCTGCTGTCCTTGCCAGGAGCAGCGGAGAGCTCGCGGGTGTGAGCATGGGGTCGGTGGGAAAACAGCCCCTTCCCCCCCAAGCGAGAGCTCCTGGGTGATGAACTGCTCTTCCCCACGGAGGGAGCCAGGAGGCTGAGCAGTCCAGAGCTATAGAAATGCCCCATGCAGCTGGCCATGGCCCCTGCATCCAACTCGTGGTGTGCTTGCAGCGTTAGAGCGCGGAGCAACCTGCCTTCCCTGCTCTCGGCTCTTCCTTCCCTTCCAAGCCTGGCCCTCCCTTTCCTTCAGCGAGCTTGCTGGGCTGCCGCAGGCTTCACTGCCCTCCACGTGCCCATCGCTCTCATCCAGGGCTGGCAGCGCTGGCTCCCAAGCGCTGAGTGGGGAGGGGAGTCAGTCAGTCCAGAGCGTTGCCTGGGTTCTGAGCGTGAGCCCCCGAGCCACTGCGCTGCAGCCCGGCCAGCGCTTTGTGACACAGCCCGGCCGGGCGCTGGGCAGGGCGGAGGGGACTTCACTTCATCAGGCTGAATCTGGAAGTGATGATCCTTTTGCTTCCAACGCTGCTGCCAGGAGTGTTGGCTGCTGCTCAGCTCCCATCTCCAGAGGGCCTTTGGCTTGAGCCCTCCTGGGCCTGCCTGCCTGTGTGGCAGGAGAGGCAGCTGGGCTAGGCTGGCAGTACTTTGTCATGAGGGTGGGCCGGGGTTGTCGGTGTGGCCGGGCACCGGCTAGGGCAGGATTT